CGCAGGTGATATTTTGGTTGTGAAAGCATCGTTTCACGACGTCTTAAAGACGCTTAAATGTTCTCAAAATTCCACCTTTTTGCAACAGCTGTGAAAATGTCCTTATTATGTCCTTGTGTTACATATTGATTTATGCAGAAATAAGCTTAATAATTAATATATTTTTCTTTTTTTAAATTTTTGTATTCCTTGTATTTTCTAAAGTTTAAATATTTTATCATTTCCTGAAAACTAGAAGATAATACAATTTTCTCTTTAGACTAAATATGCATAATCAATAATAGCCTTAATTATTTTCAGTTTTTTAAAGTTTTTAAATACATACATACATACATATGAATGTATATAGTGTTTTTATTGCAATAGAGCTCTAGAAAATGCTACATTAAAATACTGACTGAAATATTTTTTCTTATAATAATTCATAGTTTTAATTGAATTTCTGTTCCTTGGAGACGGTATATGAAAAAATTTAAAAATTTTCTAATAATAAATTTCTAAAATTTCTAATAATATATATATATATATATATATATATCGGGTTGGTAAAAATGTAATTTCGGTTTTGCACTGTGAAATAAAACTAATTTTTGTTCTATACAAAAAAAAGGAACCTTAATAAGTCAAATATCTTCCATCATGTTCGATGTCCTTTTGCTATCTTTCTGATATCTCCATGATTCAAAGCTCATAGAACTTTTGGTTTTTATCAGCAAATGACTCAACCATGTGCGATTTGAGGTCATCGTTATTACTGAAATATTTGCTATTTAAGATGTTTTGTAAACTTCGAAATAAATGATAATCCCGATGGTGAAATTTTGAGACTATATGGGAGGATGCGACATCACTTCCCAAACACCCTTCAGTACAATACGTGTTGCTAAAGATGTGGGAGTTCTCTCATTGTTACGATGGAACACGATTCCTTTTGATTGCTTCCTCTCATTTCATAAGTGATAAGCAGAAAATTCTGAGCTTATCATTTGTTTGCTTGAAAGCAGCACAAAAAAAAAACAACATCTTTGTAATCTCATCGAATTTCATCGTGATCATTTTTTGATCCAGCTTAGCTTTCGGTATGATTTGTGCAAATTCATCATGCTTGTACCATGATCTTTTTAGATTATTGTTATAGTACACCATCCATTTTTCGTCGCCAGTGATATTTCGTCTAAAAAAGTTGACTGCATTACGTTTGAAATGCGTATCGCAAATATCTATTCGTTGTGTTTTAAGTGAATTTCTTTCGATTCATGCGGTACCCAAATATCTAGCTTTTATCTAGCCCCAGACATTTTATGTTATTTTCAGCTATTTCATGTGATACATTTTACCCTTGTGCAATCACTCGCACAGTTATATGACGATTCGATTCAATTACCATGGCTTTAATTGGTAGGCGCGTAAAATACCATCGACAGTAGGTAAGGCAGACACTTGAAAGATACCTCGCCGGGACGAGCGCGTGCGATCAGCCAAAAGGTTATACAGAGTAATACTGACATGAGGTCCAATTGATTTTGTCTAATCAAAACACTCGTGCCCAGAGATTCGGAGCTCTGCTGCATGTATTAGTTCAAGACTTGCCACAGTTATTCAAGTAGTAAGTTACGATCCAAAGAACCATAACTGATTTAATAAGTCATTCGCGGTTTCGCATTAATACGGCATGTTCCTATACCATGCATGGCTTAATCTTTGAGATAAGCATATGACTACTGGCAGGATCAACCAGGTAGCTTTCTGTCATCATCAGCTTCAGACGTTTGGCCAGAACGTTAGTGATCTTCAAGGGAAAAAACTTCAGAAAGTTTTAAAACAATTCCTGCACATACGTTCTGTTAAGTAATCAACAGCATAAGCTTCAAGCATGTCTTTATGAGCCTCAGCCATTTACATGCCTTTATGAAAATAAAAAAAGTGTATCGAAAATGTTTACTTTTACATCCCATGTTACAACTGGCCACAAACTAACAGTTATAAAGGGAAAATACAGAAAATGTATTTATGTAACATAACTCTATCTATTTGTGGAAGGCGAAATTACTTTCTTGCCAATCAATATATATAAATATGTATGTATGTATATAATAAATAATATAATAAACTAAAGAAAGGATTCTAAACCGAAATTCAATTATGCGATGTAAACTGCAATAATTGATGGCAGTATTAATAAACTAAATCAATCAATATATATTTAATTTAAACTAAGTTCAACATATATTTAATTTGAAATAAAATGAAGGCAATAAATGAATTACTCTGCAAAAGCAATAAACCTTTGTAGAAAAAATAAGATAACGTTTTGAATTTTGAAATTCCGTAAGTGCAAAAATGCAAAAGTGGTAGCAAAAAAATTAAAAATTAAAGAAATATTTTCTCACTTTATGGGGTCGTTGTATCGAAAGAATTAAATATATCAACCTATTTCTGAGTTCATAATGACAGAAATTTACTAAATTTAAAACTTCAATAAACTAAAAAACCAATTAAATCTTCATCAGAAAGAAATGTTATGAGAAAGGCATGTTGCCCAAATTTATAGAAAGCTGATATCTGTTACAATGCATAATTGCAAAAACATTATCAATACATTGTTTCATGGATTTTAACACAGAATACAAAGTTATGTATGTATTTGCTGACGAATTGTTCGTGTCCGAGCTGTGAACTGAGAACCGCTACAAGCGCTCATTAATACTTTACGAAAGCCCACCGGGATTTTCAGCTAGAAAATGTGCTTAAATTACATAAATGCTACTTACTTTGGCAGCCTTAATTTTCTTGTTTATTTAAAAGTACGAGTTTGCGCTACACATATACAGGCTGGTTCAAAACTATATGTCAAAAATGTAAAGGCAGGTAAAGGGGACCTGAAAAAGCAGATTTCGTATAGGACGCATTTATGGTAATGACGCATCAAAGCGCTAATAAGTAAAGCAGTATGAATCACAGGAAACTGAAAAGACAAGTAAAGGTAAAAAATTATTATCAGTTTACAATAGGTGCTTGAAAGACCGGCCACCAACAGCGATACAAGATTCACAGTGGCGGTGCATGGATCGGCGTACTTTAGAAAGACGTTAAGCATGTCGAGCACCTGTCCAGCAGCAACACACAAGCGAGAAACAAGATCTTTTGCAGATGTGACGGGATTCCCGTACATGAGTCCTTTAATATGACCCAAAATAGAAGAAATCCAAGCAGGTTAAATCAAGAGAACGCGGTGGCCAGGGAACTGACCCTCCACGTCGTATCCAATGATGGCCGTAGACAGCGTCCAGGTGATACCTGACGTTCCCGCTGAAGTGATCTGGGCTCCATCGTACTGGAACCACATTCGTCTGTGAACAGCTGGTTTAGATGAGACTTCCCTGTAAAATAGCTACTTGTTCATTCTTTGAGCAGTTAATTCATTTTCTTGTGCAGCCCCCTACATGAAATACATGTCGGAAGCTCCGTATTGGTGTAACGATGCTGTGTAGGCAAGCCTCCACATTATTCAGCGTCAGGTGTGCTATCCGCAACCGCTCAAGAACAACAACGAAAGAGATTGCAACAACCGGTTTCTCGCTTCTTCTGCTGCTGGCGTTCGAGGGTGTAGGACGGGCTTCGGTCTGTCCTCTCCCTAGCCAATGCAATGTGCCTTTTTTTTTTTTTTTTTTTTTTTTTTTTTTTTTTTTTCTGCTTCCTTCGATGCTGAAAATCCTTTTTAGTGAGATTTTTACATGAAGATTTGAAGATTCAAGAAAATATTACTCCTGTTTCCGGTACATTGTTGCAGAAAATAATTTTTGTTCAGTTCTTCCTCTTTTCGAGAACTCTTCGCGCGCCGTGTTTTGTGAGATCTGAACTCCTGATTTAAAAAAGAAAAACAGAATACTATATATCGTACGCTAATGACTGCCGTCAAAATTCGATGTCCTTTACACCAAGACTTTGTTGGAGACGAGAAGATTAACTTTACTTCCGTGCAACGTTATTCTGGTATTGTCCATCACTCGTGCTTGATGTTCAAATTTATTCATCTGTCTGGTTGATAATTTTATTTATATTAATGCTTATTTCAATTTCAAAGATGAAGAATAAGATATAATTGATTTGGTAACATACAGTTGTCATACTTTGGAGAAAGTACTTTGATTTCATATTTCCTTCTAGATCACACTTCTTGATCTGCACGTGAGTAAGTATTTATGGGTTATTGCTACACAACGCGATTTACTAAGTAAGCAATTCATTTATTTACCTTTGCTAATCCTCACCGCAACCACCATCTATTATAACAGATGCCTGCTGCTCGAGATCGTGCGGAAAATGAAGAATCCAGCTAGTACAGCGCTTATACGCCGTACTTATCAGCGTTCTCTACCGGATCAAAGCGGCATTACCGCACACACTTTCCTATACGAAATCTGCTTATTTAGTCCCCCTCTACCAGCCTTTATATTTTTGACGTATAGTTTTGAACCACCCTGTATACTTACATTAAAATTCTCTCAAATGTTCCGTAGTTTGGAAAAAATCGGTGAACCCACTGTCGCGTGCTTTCGTTTTGAAATTTTATCCATATCTCAAATACAAACATTTAAGAAAATTTAATTTTCGGAGACAGAGATAAGTCATTTTAGTGTAAAATTAATTTTCGTTCTCTTTTGTTGACTTTATTAGAAAGCGTTTTAATTTGAAGGTCATTTATGTTTAAAGATTAATTTTTATTGATTCTTAATAAGTAAATTTCTGATGAATTGGCATTTTCATGTACGATGCCACTAAATTTATTCTGCAATCTTACAGTATGAATTTTCTGGCTACTTTTTCGTTTTTCTGAAAAATATGCTAATATTGAAAACTGTAGTTAGATGTTTGGTGATAAACATCCTTAAGGAACAGTAAAGGAAATCAAATGCTGTTTTTTTGTGTATTGCTTTTTGTATTGTTCTTTGCATAATATTAAAAGAAGCATATTTACATTTATTTTCTTTGTATTTCAGTAACTGCTGTATATGGACTATGGTCTGATCTATCATTCAACATAGTTTCTCGTACAGGTAAGCTGCTATTTTTTAACTATATAGCTGAAAATTATGAAAGAATGAAAATTTTGAAAGTATTAAGCGTCATGAAAGTATTAAGCGCTTCTCAGACATCAAGTGGAATATTAAATTCCTGTGTATAACGAAGTGTTAAGTTGCACTTTTAATCGATTTATCTTTCTCATTTTACGCTTAAGCTGTATAAAAGCTGGAAGCTTAACTGGACTTTTAAAGAAGAAATATACTTTTTAACATTTAGGGCCCACCAGTGGCCGAGCGATGAAATTGCTGAACACTGGTAGTTTGTTCGCGGGGTTCAAATCGCGCGAACGGGCTGACTGCATGGACGTTTTCGTAGTTTTCCCCCATGTGTCACGAGTATACAAGCAAGTTCTATTAAAACGACCTCCACGAAGGCATCCATTTCTTTAGCCCTCAAGTGTTTTGCCATAATCAAACAAACGAAACCAAACCTTTTAAGATCTAGTTAGAATATTTAAGAGATTTTTAAGTACATTAAAACCCAAAATGCAATTTTAAAAACTTTTATGCTATTTAATATAAATAAAAAGCTCGTAGTGCTTTAGAAGTAAAAATTTTTAAATATTTTAATATTAATAATAGTAAAATTGGTTAATAAGGCGAGTAGTCATTCCTGATGGCAATGTAGGCTTTACAGCGATGTTTTTGCAGTGTATTAGATTGCCCAAATGGGTAAAAGTTATCCGCGATAGGTAAAAGTTATCGTATGCAATGTCATTGCTAAATACTCACATAACTGATGATTCTTCACAAATATCCTCCTTTAAAAAATATACGTTGTTTATACCAAGAACCCCTTTTGCGCGCTAGTTATACGCAAGTATCGTTACTACTACAATCGTTAACTAATGCGATGCGGCGGGCATTTACTGGGAGCTGGATATAACAGACATTAGCCAGTGGGAAGGATTTAATGGATGCCGGATTTAAACGGTGCTAGTCCGTATGAGGAACTCTCCGGATACCGGACGTAAACAGCTCTAACCACTATGAGGCACTTAGTGGATGTCGAATGTAAGAACTGTCATTACAGTTATATAACAACCGTCACTTTTAGAGACATTAAAGGAAATTTTGAAGCTGGAGTACATGTAAAATGAGAAATGCCTTCTCGGAGGCTCGAACCTAGACCTCTCAAATACGCGCCGATTGTACTACAGTTACACTACGAAGACTTTCATGAAGGAGGGAAAAAAATTTTCCTTTTAAAGGGCGACTGGGGATTACGACTCCCAATTGCGAAATTGTGGTAGGACGAATTATTGTCCATCACCTTTTAGTTCGGGTGCCATTGTAAAGCCATTAAGATATATATTTTGAAGCAGGAGTACATAAAAAATGAGAAATGCTCTCGCCGAGGCTCAAATCTGAACCTTTTGAACACGCGCCGAGTGAACTACCGTTAACCACGAAGGCATGCTGGAAGGAAGGAGAAAATAGTCGGATATCAGTGTGGGATTAGTAAATGACGTATATCAAAACTGAAAGTCAGTGTGAAGCATTTAGAGGATGCGGAAAATAAAGCTGGTATCTGAGAAGAGGTAAACCAAGAAAGTTTAGTCAAACGTAAATAATAAGGTATTTGAACTGGGACACGAACTGATAAGAACTCTGCAGATTTATTTGTAAATTTGCCTAAAAGTTTAATTCATTTTACCTGCAATGGGAGCATTTATGGGGCATTCGAAAAACAATACCTCAGAGAATTTTTCTGTTGTTTATTAGAGAGAAATTTTTATATTCTTCCTGAGCTTTTTTAAACTAAAGGCATATTATATGTGGTTAATTTAACGTTAACTTACTTAAATTCGAGATACTTTGAAAGTAATTTCAAAGCAACTGAAATAGAATGTTCGCAGTAAAAGGAATTATTTTCCGGTTACTGTTCTATTCAGCTTTTCTTTCCTTCTTTTGCATTTCTAATCAGCCTTGCGTGCAGTTTGTCATTTACTCTTTAAAAATTGCTTCGGTACTTCGAAACAGGAAGTATACTCTAAAGATTCGGAGAAAGTTCTGAATACATCTGCACGAAATCTTTCTCTAGTCTTTTCAGAAGTTTTAGATATTAACTAAACTTTAGCTTGCTAAAGCAGGTCACATAGATACATACCGAACTTACGCTAAACTGGTCGGCTGATGAATCTCTATTAAGTAAATAGATAATTTAATTCGGAATCTATTCTTCACGCTGGACAATACAACTGCGCAGCTTAAATTAGGATTTTAGTGCAAACTTAATAAATGAGAGGTATAGTACCGCTTTGATTGGATGTGTATCATTTTCTTTGTACTGTAACACAGATTATAACGGAATTTTGATTTCATTTGCGAAATAATATTCTTACAAAAGCAGATATGGCAGATAGATTGGATGGCCTATATGTTTGCTTCATGTTTAGCGTGAAATATGTAATTTACTGGTAGTCATAATTATATGTAGCTTTAGTCAATGATTTTTGATCGAAATTATCGCCAAAAATATTCTGCTAGATTTCTGATTGTGTAGTATTCGATTCCTTGAATTATAGTAAATTAGAAAAGCTTACAATCTCTTCAGTTGTAAAAATCTGTTCAATTTTACCAAAAGTTATAATAATCAGAAACAGCTGAAAATTACAGTTAATTTATTTTTAGAGAAATTTCAGAACCAGACACTGGATTTTTATTAATATCTTACGCGTCATTATTTCATTCTTTATGAAAAATCTGACTATGAATACAAACGAAATTCAGCAGTTCTTTTCTCTCAGATAAATAACAAAAGTAACATTTTTATCTGGAACTAATATGTTTTATGCATATTGAGCTTGAAGAAAATTGTCTTTAAGATACATTAATGTTTGTTTCAATAATAATAAGGTTAAAAGGAATATTTATGATATATTAAATTTTGTATCTTATAACATAATTTTAAGTCAAAAGATAGGTATGCGGTCCGCGGAGCCAGCCAACGCTTGCAAATTCATTCGAAAGAGGTAAATTACTTGATTTCGCCACCGAAGAAGTCATTTGTGAAGTAAAACATTTCACTCCCTTGAAACGGACTCAAGTTCTGTTCTAAGACAACAGGTAGCTTTCTACTCACACTTATGACTCGAACTATAGATGTCGCCACAAGCAAGCCTTTGTTAAAACACGAAAGCGTGCAATAAATCAACGACCGGCCTTCGTGGCCTCTACGTTAAACATGGAGGTAGGAAGTAGGTTCCTACCTCCATGACGTTAAAGCGGGGGTGAAGCTGCGCTATGGGTAATTAAGCGACTTCACATAAGGATTGGTAACTGATTAGTTGCGATTTGTTTAGGTTACGTATTAGTTACTGCGTATAGAACTAATCCACATTTATTATGAATCTTTCAGAAGCTCTTTTAATAAAGATAACAATATTTAAGGCGCAGAAATAATTATTGTAAACACAGTTATTGTGTTCTCATCATATGAGGATCCTGCTAACGGAAAGTACATCTTAAGTCGAGAGCTTAAGAACATTCTTATAAGTTGTTATTTAGAAACAATATGCAAACTGAATTAATCAGCCCGTATTAACTTTCTGTTGCCTTATACATTTCCTGATTCGTTGTAGTTGAAACGGTATCATATGAGCAACAGGATCATTGGTCTGTCAGGATACCTGAAATCTACAGGCTTTGATGACATATACAGTGTAGATCGCTAAAATCTCTTGACGCTGGTCCGTGAAGTTATGACTTTTGTATTCTTCCACTGACTTTCCTTCCACTGAAAGCTTGGGAACCTACATTGAAAATAAAATGTTTAACATCTGCCTTCGCGTTGGCATATAAATCCCCCATCGCACAATTAGATGCGTAATTGTTTACTAGTCAAGACAAAGGCATAAACAGACATATAAGAATATACTTCTCGTATTATTCAGCAAAATTTTTAAATTTTAATTAAATTAAACTTACTAGTCTGATCTAAAAAAGAAGCCGAATTAAGTGCTTCAAGCGGGGAATATTCCGATCACCGTAAGAATGCACATACACACGTTAATTCAGGAGAGGTTTACCCTGAAAGCCACAAAAACACACAAATACATAAAAGAATTGATTCAAATTTTTAAGATTTTGAGCAAAGATTTCTAGATCTGGTTAGTTTCGTAGGCCTCTTTTAGCCCAAATGAGGAGTTAGTCCAAATAGGCTATTAGTCTCGAACGGCGATTTCGCGTTGAATCAATATAAATGTCCGTTTCACTTTTCAAACTGTTGTCACCAAATGTTAGAGTCCTGCATTATATTTGAAGAAATTAAATAATGAAAAAGATGCATAAATGTATGTATATTTCTCGCATTGTGATAAAACAACGGTACATAGAGCCATCGAATTTTGAATGACGTAATCCTCCTACGAATATGGGCATGCGGAAGACCAAATTTGAAATTTGGAATTTGTTTTATTATCGATTTCATATTTGTTAAGCTTTAACGAATTTTTGATTAACAAACTCAAAGATTTCAAAGTGAGCAATGACAACGTTGTACAAAAAAATATTATCATCTCCAACGCGAGAGCCTCTGTATCGGAAATTCTAAAGATATACGCAATTTAAGACTATTTTGCGATATTGCTCTTTGAATTGAATTTTATGGTTTAAGTGCAAAGAACATGGTAGTTAATAAAGTAATTTAAAATCTAAAAACTTTCAGTATATATAGTACATATATATATGTATTTGTCAAGGCAGAGCATATAAGGATATCTTCATTCAAGGCAGAGCATATAATGATATCTTCATTCAAGGCAGAGCATATAATGATATCTTCATGAGATGCATTCTATTACGACAGAAAATATTTTTCAAAATAAATGCATACAATTAAATTTATTGTCATCAAATCATGTGTTCCAATGCTCATTAGTGAATTTTAAATAACAATGAGAGCCAGTTCGGTTTCTTCTAATAACGAAAATGCACATGTTATTTATATGCAATGAGAAAATAAAAAGTTT